ACAGTCTCTATGGGGTTTTGGGTATCACAATAAAACCACCTTTGTTATCCCAAGATAACAAAATAGTTAACTTGTAATCTCAGGGTAACAGCATTAAAAAAAAGTCTGAATCCATGACCCTTTAGGGCTTCCGTAAAAGCAACTCTTCTCTAGAACATGTAACATGTCATGACTGTGTGTTTCAGCAATTCCTGGATCTGCAGCTGGTTGGAGAGCACCAGTACAGTGCCAGTCTCCTTCACTCTCATGATACTGAAACACGCGCCACCATGAACATGGCTGTGGGTAACGGCGTGATAGCTGCAGGACAGGACGGGACCTGCTGTCTGATGAGCTTTAAACCGTGCACACAGAAAGAAGGAGGAAAAGCTGCTAAAGACGGTGAGTCTTACTGTTTACAATCTAAAATATACATGCTGTCTTAGAAAGACATCAAACAATATGCTGCCTATTGTATATTGCACTTATTTGATATGTGGCTGATTCATTTACATGCTGTTACTTGTCAGTTTGTAATGGATTAACTTAAGAAAAGAAGACAAAAATTGTTATACCAGGGGCCTGTATCACAAAGCGTGTGCAACTCAGTCTGGCTCTCTTACATCAGTGATCCTGATAACTGGTTTACGAACCTGCTTATTGGCTGGCTCTGGTTTTACAGGCTCAGAGCAGAGCATGTTCACTTTCAACCAAATCGCATTTAACATCATCAGAACCATTCGGATTTAATATAACAGCAGGTGAAATGTGAGATTGTGTAGACTACACATTGTGTAGAAGCTATAATAAGTATAAATCCATCAATGTAGATTTTACTTGCATAAAGTGTTGCAATAATCTGTTCTACAACAGATGCAAAATGATGGACTGTAAGAAAAGGCTGACATCAGCCTTATTCATGTAAATCTAAACCTGTGTCTACTCCTGTGTTTCCCATTCTTTGTTATCCAATAAAAGTGTGTCATTGTGCAGGAGGGAACAGCGTGCAGCAGGGTAATGCCAGGCGGCGAGCTGGCAAAGGAGACAAAGGTGAACAGGACGGAGCTGCAGCGTCCGGAGATATGTCAGATATGAAGGATGAGACGGCTCACATTTCTGTCACTGGTTTGGCTGAAGTTCAGTCAGACCTGAACCCTCAGGACCCACTCCAGAAAGTGGTCAGGTTCAGTCCTGACCTGAGCCTGCTGCTGACAGGAGGCACAGACGGACATGTCCGAGTCTGGGAGGTACAAACATCTAGTTGTTCTTTTCACTTAAGGAGTATCTGTGTTTGAGTGGAGCATGTTCTGCTCCAGAGCCTGAGGCAGAACATACTCTGTTTGTTCTGCTCCAGGCTCTAACTTCAGTATGGATGTAAAGTGGGTGGGTAGGTAGCTGTTGGAAATGCTTCCTACTGTGATCTGTCCTGCAGTTTTTATTATGGTTCAACATTCTTTACCCTAATCTTAACCACACCAAGCCCCTACTTAGTGCTGAAACCATTGGGTAAGAAATCCATGAGTCACTCTACAGAAAACCAATGACACTTTTTGATAACTAATTAATAGTTGAAGTAATTTACCTAAATATATAGCTGAAATGACTTTGTGACTTTTCGTTTTGATTCTCACTAATTTAACTTTGTTGCTCATCAGAGGTTAGAGTTGATATGGATGAGCTACCGGTTGGCTGCCAGCAGTTGTATATAATAAACTGCTCACTGGATGTATGCATTGATACTTCGATTGTATGTTCTTGACTCTTCTCCAGTTTCCTTCCCTGAAGAAAAAGTTTGACTTCAAAGCACATGAAGGGGAGATTGAAGACTTGGATATGAGTCCAGGGAACAAGGTGAAACATGGACACCTATTGGTGTGGAAATGTAATGTATTATTGATTCATTAGTAATGATCAACATGTGTTCTGATGCAGCATCTGGTGACTGTTGGTCGGGACTTTGCCTGCAGTGTATGGAGTGGCAACCAGTTGGCTATGGGTCTTAAATGGCTTGAAACCATGCCTCAAATAGCTGAGAAGAGTTATCGATATATGGCTTGCAGGTAAAAAAAACAACAATCTAAAAACCCATAAGAAAATAGGTTTCTTCTTCCACATCCGATCCAAATAGCATCCGAGCTGTTCAGCTCACCATACTCATCTGGATGATGTAACAGTGTCTATACATGGTTTCATTTTCATGTATTTCAGGTTTGGAAAAGTAGAAGACCAAAAAGACGCTCTGAGGCTTTACACAGTCCAGATCCCCCATAAACGAGACAGAAAACCTCCTCCTTGCTACCTCACTAAGTGGGATGGCAAGAGCTTCCTACCCATGCTGACGGCTCCGTGTGGCACAGAAGTCATCTCCACTTTGGCTGTCAGGTGAGTGTCATATTATTACGTGGTAACCATTAATGCTGACAGACTCGCCTGAGGCATAAGGAAGGTAGGGTTTGGTCAGGACTGCCCGATGGCCCAGGCACAGTTGGGCTACTTGTCTCACTACAGCTCATGCGGCCTGTTAGCATTGCCATGTTGCTTAGTAGCTGGTCTACTGTATTATTGTGCATTTTCTAAAAATAAACAATAAACTTAAATTTCAATGCTCATTGGTAAAATATCAAAATAATCATTTTTTTGGCTGGACAGCAGCAAAGCGAGGCCATCCCTATTAACGCAAGTAAGTTTACTCCATGAGCAAGTTTTATGTCTCTGCAAGTTAATTTTGATAAGGTACTAAAATGAACTGAAACCAGTGGGTAGCCACTTACATAAACTGGGAAATGGTTGTCAGTTATGTAAGTTGTATTTAATGTCTTGCAGCATTAAGATGATAACTTGTCTTTGACAGTGACTCTGGAACATTTCTTGGCCTTGGAACTGTGACAGGATCGGTTGCTATCTACATCGCTTTCTCCCTACAGGTAAGACTCATCTCAAACCAACAGGTACATAAATCAACCAGGCAGCCCTACTCTATGATGATAACTTGATCTATCTCTTTGTGTGTGTAGAAGCTGTATTATGTCCAGGAGTCCCATGGCATTGTTGTGACAGACCTGGCCTTCCTGCCCAACTCGCTGAAAGGCAAAAATATCAAAGGGAATAATGAAACAGCCATGTTCAGTGTAGCTGTGGACAGCCGCTGTCAAGTACACACTGTCCCAAACCGAAGTAAGTCCTCCATCATCATTATCATCATCATTATTATCATCATTATTATCATCATTATCATCATCATTATCATCATCATCCAATGAATGCATTAAGATCATGTATCATAACCTCAGACCTTCTCTCCTCATCTCTTGTCCCTTGGTTTTGCATTTTCTCCAGGTTCCTTTCCTATCTGGCTGGTGCTCTTCTTCTGTGGCCTCATGGTGGTGGGACTCGTCCTACTACTACAGTACCTCTTTCCAGGATTTATTTAAATCATGCAAGTCTTATTACAGGTCAGGTTGATGGAGCTTGGACACCATCTCTTCACATGACTTACTTTGCCACTGTCAACATCAGCAGTCCTCAGTGTAACATCCAAACCTGCAGCACCACAACTCCCAGCTGAGCCCATAAAGGATTTTCCAGCTGCAGTGCTGACTCTGAAAAGCTTTTATGGCACCCTGATGTTGTCTCCACTCAGCTCTTACTCAGGGTTGTTCTTCTCAGACCTGTAAACCCAGTGGAATCAAACAGGACAGACTGGGGGATTTTTATTTGCTTTGATCTCTATGAATTATTCTTATTTCTTTTTTGGATTCATGATGAAGGGCTCAGGTTCCTGAATGTTTAAAGGGGGGGGATCTTTTTATTGACATATTTAAAAAACAATGTAAAAAATATATAAATGATTGGCACATAATGTGTCTGATTTTGTTTTCTGTATACACATAGATGCTTTGAATTCTCTTTTGATGTGTTTTTCCATTTCATCCACTTGTGGGCAGCAGAGATCAGCCTCTGGTAAAGACAGTGCCAGTGAAGATGAAATGTTAAAACATCTATTTGTACATTAATTTCTCAAATTAGACATACAGCTACATGTTTCAACTATGACCGGGTTGCCCAGTGTTAAGTAAATATTTCAACAGAAATGGAGAATCAGTTGATATTAGTACAAGAAACTAGATGTGGGAAAATATAAGTGAAGTTGCTTTAAGCATATAAGAAGCAGGGGGTCTGTGTAAACTTAATGATAATGTTATTTTTACTTGAGCGAAAGCTTGATATTACTTTCTTTTATGAAGGTTGTCACCTTTAATTTTATTTAAACACTGTCTGCAGATATGTTTCCCAGCAGATGTACAAAAATGTGAATGAATTTTTAAATGATGCCAATATTACTGTAACCAACTTGGTGAAATGATAGAGGAAATAAAATATTAAGAACGGTAGCTAAAAAACACTTTCTTTGTCTCCTTGTGTGTCATTATCCTGACAGGGGGCCTGTCTTAAACCAGACTCTCCCCACTCCCCCAGTCAAACTCAAAAAGGGGGACTGGAGAGTGTGCTCAAATTGTTGGGGGTATCCTTCCCTGCGTCCCTGGGAACATTTATTTCAGGGTGCTATGTGGATTTCATCCTGGCTGTGGGACTTGGGACCAGCAGCTTAGGGTTGCTGGAGGTGTCATGGGAGTTTGACCTTCCAGTCTACATTTGTTTTGTTGATTTGGAGAAGGCTTACGACTGCTAATGGCTGCTGTGAAAAAGGTCTATGCCCCTGAGACCTAACCTCAAACCTAACCCCATCTGGGCTTTTCACAAGGACAAAATTACATTTTGTTGTAAACAAATCTGCATTTTATATTATCTGACTACAACTAAAACTGTAAAGAAAAAAAAATTTGACTGGTACCTTTTTAGACTGACTGACTTTAGCACTGGTCTACAAAAAAAAAATGGGCTTGCTCGTAAGTTTTGACCTCTGCTATGGTCGTGGAATCTTAACAACTAAAGCAGTGTTCAACTTCACCTTTATAGACCATATGAGTACAACTTAGAAATCACATGCTGGTCCAAACAATGGACCTGCGTTTGTACTTGTCAGAGTTGAATCTCTTGTTTATAAGACACATGATAAACTAAAAGTAAAAAAATCATTCCTTTTATTGTCCAAAATTGCTTGTAGTTTGAGTAGTTAAATGGAGGATCTATTGTTAGAATATAACATTCATAGGTATGTTTTCATTAGTGTATAATCACCTGATTAAAAGAAGTTTTGTTTTTGTTATCTTAGAATGAGCTGGTTTTATCTACAGATCCTATCTTCATGTTTCTACAGTAGTCCAGTAAAGGACTAACCAAACACTGGCTGTAGATAGGGTCAGTAGAAGGTGGTGGTGAAATATTCTAAATATAATGTACACATAAACATATAGATTTACATAGATTGGCTACAAACAGTTTTTTCCGTTAATTTCTTGAATTTTTTACCCTTTTGGTACAAAAAAACAACTTTTGGTACTTGATAAAAGCTCCTTGTGGTTTCTTGGTCACATTGATTTGAGCAACTGTAAGCGATGCAAATTTTCTTTGTGATTGTGCTTCCAATGTAGAAAATCACTCTACCAGCAGGTGGCACCATGTGTTTGCTGAATGTTCTATAAAGAGCAGTGAAGTTGTGAGGAAGGCCTTGTTTGTTGATTTAACCTACATTTCGCTGAGTCTCAGAACATCCAGCACCCTCTGGACTACTTCGGACCTGTTGGATGGTCTTGATCCCAAACACTGGACGCTGTAGATTAGGTTGGAGCCAGTGGCGAGGACATAATGAACGTCCTTCAGAATTTTGTGTGTGAATACACAAGATGCAGACCCAAAAGGTCATCTCCTCCATATTATCTGTACATGCAGATGCACTTCCACTTGTCACTAAATTGTGAAGCAGTATTTAGACATTTAAGAAATACACCCCCCATCCAGTCAGCCTTCATCAACAGGCATCAGACGTCATGAGAGAACATGTGTGTCTTTCTCCTCGAACACTGAACATTCCCTGGGCCTGCTGCTTCCAACCAGCCCCACTTCCCACATAGCAAAATTAGTCTGGCCCGGTGACGGCCCACAAAGCCAACTAATGCTCGGCTCATTTACAGCAATGATCTACGGATGGTCCAGATCTGGTAGCCACATATTGTCCATGATGTGGCCATATCTCAGCCAGCTGTATGACCAATTTGGCCCTCTTCTGGCCCCTTATTGGCACAGGTAATGGGAAATTTTTTTGGTTTATTGTTATCTTTGTGTCATTCAGTCAGTGAGAATCTCACCTGCCCTCAACTATAGCATAGCATAGCAACATTTGCCAGTAGATGGCAGTAGTGGTTTTGTAATGTCAGTGACTGGCTGTTGACCTTGCATAGGAGCCAATTACCCAGGTCTGACTGTGGAATAGTCAAGGTAGCAGTTTGCATCTAGGCCTGTATTCATCACTTCAGTGATGGAGCATGAGGAGAAATACACTGTGTTAACAAGAGGACAACATTATGACCATCAGGTTGCAGTCTCTCAATTTAATGTGGGCCCTGGTTTTCCATCACCTGAAGTCTTAGGGTGTGTTATGCAATAAAATGCTGTGGCTCAGAGGCAGAGAGGATCGTCCACTAATCAGAAGGTTGTTGGTTCAATCCCCAGCTCCTCCCGCCACATGTCAAAGTATCCTTGACCAAGATACTGAACCCCAAATTGCTCCCGACATTCACACACCAATGAATGCATTAGTTTCCATTCGATGGCCTTTGCCTTTGTGTGAAAGGGTGAATGTGGCACGTAGTGTAAAAGTGCTTTGAGTGGTTGGAACACTAGTAAGGCGCTATACAAGTACAGGTCCATTTACCATTTACCACACCTCATGTAACACTAATGCTAGCTTGTACCATGTAGGCTACATTAGCTGGTGTGCTAATCACACGTGTTAACAACAATAGCTGTCAGTGAGCCCACATTGAACAGATAATCAATCTGATTGATCTTTTTAGTGTCACTGCATTTGTGCTAACGAGAACAATAAAGATCAGATTAATAACGTCGGTAACATTTTGTTTAAATTACACATAAATACTGAAAGTCAGTGTAGGAACAGCTTCTGTAACAGAGTGACTCATCTTCTCAACACACAATCTCTGGTAACAGGCTGCACGCTGCATTCAGGTGCTCCTGGAAATATGACCATTGCTTGCTGCTGGTTTCATCATTTTTAAATGTAATGATCATGTTTCCTGTTTAATGAACTGATGACCACAGAAACGTCTCTGATATCTGATTCAGTTTTTATTTTGTTCTGAAGTCTGAGGTTGTTTATGTATAAAAAAAGGCTCTCCCAGATAATTATCAGAATTTAATATTTTATCATCAAACATTCACTCATACTCAAAGAGGCAAAATATAAATATTTCCATTTACCGTATTGTTATACATCATCAGCTTTTTAATCAAATTTAGAAGACACTAAAAATTTGTTAATAATGATAAAAATGATCCTGAACATTCAGATTACTGCAGAAACAATGAATGCTGTTGTTTATCATACTGCACTGTAATTAGTGTCCTTTCTACTGAATGTGAGCGTTGGGATGTGCGACAGCCCCTGAATGCATCAGTAACTGACACCTGTTGTTCAGGTGGAGCAGTGGGTGGAGTGAAGTGAGTCAGACTGATGGTCAACAGATCAGGTATCAGCAGCTTTTAGTTTCCATCACTGGAAGCTTCCAGAAACTGACATCAGAGCCACAGAACCCGGTCAGAGAGCGGTGCCGTGAGGGGATGCAATGCCGGGTTTTACTAGAAATAAACTGATTATACACCAGCACATTCTACAGCACCTCTCATTAAAACGACATGAACCACCATAAATAAAACTGTGCTAAAGGCTAAAATACAATACAATAAAAACTATTTATTACTCCAAAGTAAAAGCCAGATTAAAAAGATGCTGAGAGCTTGTTATTCATACTTTTGGGACACATTATTTATATTATTATTATTTACTTTATAAGGAGTAGACTAGACCTGCCCTGTTTGAAAAGTCATAGAGAGATATTATATTATATTATATTATTATGAACTGGCGCTATACAAATAAAATTTAACTGAACTGAATTGAATCAGGGACGTTGTGTTAATGTTCCTGCTCACCCAGCGTTAAGTGGAGTTTCTCTCTGCTTTGGGTCCCATTGACACAATCTGTTCTTTCCTCATTTAGCTTTAATAAGTCCGCAGCTAAGTGTCAAGCAGCTGGAATGAGGATCAGCACCTCTAAATCGGAGG